GTTACGAAAACTAAGACCCTCGAAAACGAAGACCTAAGACCTAAGACCCGTCTTAGTTTTCGAGATTACGAAAACTAAGACCCCTAAATTTACCGCTAAATTTGACCTAAAACTCGGTGGAAAGGATCGGACAGGAGATAATTTGACAGATTAGACCTATTTTGGTTACAATTTGACTTTATATTTCGACGGATTCGATTTTAGGGGGTCTTAGTTTTCGTAATCTCGAAAATTAAGACAGGTCTTAGGTCTTAGGTCTTCGTTTTCGAGGGTCTTAGTTTTCGTAACACCCAGCACTTTTTTCTGCAGTTTGCATCACGATAAATAACAGTTGCAGCGATAGAAAGCAGATCAAAGATCACTTCAATCATTTTTTTTTTAATTCGGGACAAAATTATTCACCAATGTAAACTTAAAGGCAAAGTTGAAAAACATACTTTAATCAGACGTGTCATTTCCACTACCCTGCTAATTCTCTGCAGAAATTTTGCCTCTATCACCCCTCGATGATCAACATCTTGAGTACCCGCATATAAAAGTAGATACTCAAAAATTTCCATTAGGATTATTTGTACATACGGCGAGCAATAACGAATGAACAACGAACACCTTGAACTGGGTACGAAATTCTTGGATTTTCGAAATGGTCGCCATGTTGTGACGTCACGTGGTAACACTTATTCAGCTCCAGTAACGTTAAGCAGTGACATAATTATTTCCGCTTTCAGTTTTTAAGAGTATATGAACCACGAAAACTTTTGGGAAATTTCCCTTTTGATGTGTTAAGGATTAAAACACCCCTCCTTCTAGGCAAGTATACGTCGATAGCTGAAGTGGGACATATCCAAAGTCTTACAGGAAAGCTGAAAAGTACTCGGAAACGCCGAGGTAAGATTTTGGTGGATGTAATTTAATTCGCCCCTCTGACAACTTAGCGAAACAAATCTCAGGTGGAATGACAGATGTCAGCTACTGTAGACATTTTTTCTTATTTGGTAAAGTGCCCTTTGATTGAATTCAAAAGTAGGTGAATTTTGTCAGCTTACAATATAAGCGCGGCTTTCACTTATTTCAGTAGTGTAATTTCGCCCGGAATGTTCTATTCTTCGACGCCGCAGAGACTGTCAAAATTTCGCTGTCGGCGGAGGTGTGATGTTGGCTGCGTTAGGTTTATCCACATTTGCATTGCCACATAAAATTCAAACGGGCATGAATCTGGTCGATGAAAGAAGGAGAACTGAGTTAACATGTTTAGGGCTACACAGACGAGAGATTATCACTTAACAGAGTAAAGTTCTTATTTATTTACATCCCATATTATCAGTCATAACGCTGCAAACCATATGTTCATTCCTCTTTCCTTCGCATGAAGGGGTCAGCTCATGGTTTTTGAAATATCTCAAGCCGGATAGGATAGTTAATTCCAGGCAAAGTTATAAGCTCATATCCTACCTATGCCTCGCGTGAAAAGACGACGAATGACATTATGACTAACTCATGATGTCCACTGTGTCTGTTTTCTTCTTTTGCTTTCCTTCAGACTCCAAAAATACGTGTAAGTGATGCATGTTTCGAACGTAACATAGGAGTGAAGATTTCACGATTTTCAAAGGTAAAAAAGTTGCTTTTAAAGACTAGAAAAAGCGGTCCGAGGGTTAACTAACAAAAACAAAATGGCTTACCTAGTTTCAATCGCTATCAATCGCTAAAAAACACAATAAACTGGCAAAGAAACGACTGAATGACCTGAGTATTGCAGGGAAAGCTATTCTTTGAGTTAAAATCTCAAACATGTTTACGCTCAGTCAATGCAAATGTTTTTCTTTTAAAATATTATGTTGTGTAAAGCAAGGATGTACTTGCACTTTGGACTCAAGGCTACAAAGCGGTCGCTGTGTGGTTTGTAGCTATGTTAATTATCATCTTGCGCATTGGAAGCTAAACAGTGAAAGGCAGACCGACACAAAACAGGACTCTGTATTGATAACGTAGTTTTGACGTCTAACCACAGGCGGCCCAAGCTCCAGCTGTGAGATGATCATCTTGTGCAATAAAGGTTGTATGGGAATATTTACGACCGCTCTAATGAATAAAAAAATACGTCAAATTCTCAATAGCAATACCTCACCTTACTTTCACAGCATATCGCATGCTATCTGACCGCTTATTTTGATGAAAAGAATCCATTTAGCGAGTTGTCCATTTCGAGGTTTTTAACTTACATTAGAAAAGCCCTTTTCTTATGTTCGTTGAAAACCTCGAAAAGGAGATCAAATTAACTCCAAAGGGCAGCATCAATCAGTCACTCTCAATCATAAACCAAAGCTTTCCTGTAAGTACTAGCATGACCAAAGCTTACTTGTAAACCAAGCATAAACTGAAGAAACGACCCATGCAGAAAAAAAATAAACCTTTTTTTCAGAATGTTTCGATTTGAAGTAAAATTGTAGTGAGCAGTTCAGCGGAATATTTACGTATAAACAATTATCCGCCTGGAATAACGTTACGTGACGAAATTATTTCCGCTTTTAGTCTCTAAAATTAGGGGAAACCCCCTCACTTGAGACGTCAAACCTCGCGTGCGTCTGAGCGTGTCCATTTCGATAGTTGCAGTTTAATATTTCCATGGTCTTGCAAAACGGACGTTTTGATGTGGGTTTATGGGTTTATTATAATGTATAATTGGGAGAAGAGTCGGGGACGCCGATCGCATTCAACAACTGTGTTCCAGTCAGGATACATTTTAATTTATGCAGGGTCACGTTAATCGCAGTCGTCTCTAGAGCGTGGAAAACCGCAGATGAAAAACAAATTTAGTTTCAGCTCTTGTCATCAGTCCTAACACTTATCAAACCTTGTGTTCGTTGCACCTTTACCTACTTTACTTAAGACAAGAATAAATAGTTGTAAATTCTGACGGAATGTTGTTCACCAAAACTGACAGTTAGGCCTTGATTTGGGCAGAATTAATCAGAAACTGTCGACTACACCAAGCTAAAAAGTTTTTCTTTCAAGTCTCATAGAAATAACACTAGTCGTAGTACCTTTATTTAAACTCGGTAAGAAGTCTTCAATAAAAACAATAGCGTGCCAGACTATCTATTTACAATATTAAATCGATTAAAACCACCAACCATCCGACCTAGGCCTTTTGTCACGAGTTCCGGTTTCAGTTTCTAATGAAGGGGAACCGCCTTTTTCCCAATTGAGGCGAAATTTCCCTGTCGCGCATGAGATGTTCAAACTTCCAGAGCGTTTGAGAAAACCCACTATAGTCCTTGAAACTGGATCCTTTCAAGGGAATTTACACCGTGGACATGTCATATTCCCTTCTGTTAAGCTGTTATTATAACACTTTTCAGCAAAACATGATTCAATACAAGACGAATCAGTGTTGAGGACACAAGCCCAAACTAGTTCACTAATTTCAGAATGATCTTAGATATATGGTTACAATGTTTATCTGTTTTTCTGTATTTCTATTGGTTTTATAATCTGACCTTTCAGCGTCACCACACGCATATAAAAGACAAGTTTAGCGTCCCTTTAGACAGTTCTTCGTAAGTTTTTGAGTAGTCTTGGTAAACTTCCGCCCTTTCGTTTTCTCAACCTCTGGCACAAGCGGGACCGATATGTGAGTATCTTTGTAACTTTGTTTTTCTAGTCAAGCCTTTTCAGTGTCGGACGGCAATATACGAATAGATCAGTATTCCGTTGTGTTGCCGTATTCTCTATTGATTTAAGATTTAAAGGCCAAAATTGTACCAAATACGAGTGAACGCCCACCATTTAGATAAGAACAATGGGCTGTTAACCAGCCATTCTATATTCCGGCTTTGAGCCTTGCCCGGAAGATTTTTATGATGAACACTTGACGTCGCCAAGTCTCCGGGTCTCCAGGTATAAGTGAGGGGAGCCCTCAACCCCCAAGATTGTCGCTTTTACACTTGGGTGGTGAAAACTCCCAATGCGCCTCTTCAGCTACACTTTTGTAGCTGTAGTACAGCGCAGAGGAGAGGAAATAAATTTTATTTCGAGTAAATGTAACCGTCCAATTACAGCGCGACTTGATCTTTTTTGGTAGACCGGTGATGCACTGGAGGGCGTTACGCGTCCCTTCAAATTTTCTTCGCTAAAATGGTTAACGAGTGAACCTTTCCTACTAAGGCTTTTTCAGAATCGAAAGCGAGCCTTGGGATCTTTTCCCTTTTCCGGTTGAAAGGTTTTCTATCGTGCTTAGGTTAGAGCTTAAATCAAAAGTTAATTTGACAAACTCTTGGTACCATTGAAAATGTTTGTGAAACGTTTCCCATAATTAAAATTACTGGTGTACGTACTCGGGCAGCGTAGCCGTTGTCCAGGGGAACCATAAAAGCAATTACTTTATTTAGAATATATGAAAATCATATGTGTGCACCGCGGTTTTAAGAAAGTGATCCTCGCAGTAATGAACACTACGTAAGTAGTGATGAAAAAAAGAGGCCGCAAAAAAATTCAGCCCTGTACAGGTTTTGAACCCATGACCTCTGTAATACCATTACAGTGTTCGACCAACAAAGCTAACAAGCCAGTTGTGAGCCGGTCATTATGTTGGTTTGTATAAGTGAAGTGATGAATCAATTACTGAGGATATCTGAAAATTGATGCACTTCAGTTTTAGGAACTGTATATGAAAGCGATCGTCACAGTAGAGAACACTAGTTAAGCAGTTGTGAAAATAAGGCCTGAGAAAACCCGTACAGGCCTGAATTTTTTTCAGGAAAATGTTTTGCTGTGTCAAAGTATTGAATTTTGTGCTGTTATATATAATCATATTAGTCAGCCGTTGGTCACATTGTGGCTGATTGATGTTGCTGTTAAGGACTAAAATAGCGTATGCTTTTTCTATAGGTTGACAGGTCATGTGACTTATCTAACGCTAATGCGCCAAGATCGTTCTGCTTACTCTGAATGAGAGAGGTAAATTGTAACTCATACTCCACGTTACTAACCCTGTGGTGGGTTAAATAGATGATAATAGTCTTAATTTCCCAAATGCGCTCCTTGATTTTTCTCTCTCTGGGAATTTAATTATCCGTGAAAGCCTTGAAGTTTCATTGAGAAACTATTGTGGCATTCTCAGCTGTCTCATTTGTTTTCGCCCATTAAGGTATACTCTCTGAACTTGATCGGGTTCAAATGTTAAAATTTAAATTTAATCAGTTCTTCTTGGTATAATCATAGTAAATCCAAAGGAGGATGGAGCCAATAGTTGATGATACAAACTTCAAATTTGGTTCTTTTGCAGTAATGGCGGAAGACGGTCAAGTGAACGTTGCTGACGGGAAATCTACAGACGGTAGGAGGGGAAACAGAATACAATTCGTTTAAAAGTTTCTCATACTTATCATTTCCAGATTGGTCAGATTGCAGCTTGATTAAGAAGAACAGTGTTGGATACTTTTGACCAAGCATGATGAAAAATGAAAGTAGGCTCACTTGGGAAATACTTGCTAATCGTCTAAGCTGCTTGAAACATCCTTTTCTGAAGGTCAAAATAAAGACGTATCATAACCTTGATGTCTGACTGTATATCTTACAGACGCAACAGAAGTTCAGCCTGAATTACCGTCAGACAGTACATCACAATTGGATGATGCTACTTTAAAAGGCAGGAATAACTACAAGAATAGATACAACGTATTTAACTTGGTCACCGAGTCACTTAATTGATTAGAATTCGACCCTCTTAAGCATGATGATAAATGAAACTAGAATCACCTGGGAAATAATCAAGGCTAAAAGTTTCTAAAGAAACTGTGGTGCTGCGTCGGTGGGGGTAA